GAGTAGGTGTGGCCTTGCTGTAGGAAGTGTTTCACTGGGTGCAAGCTTGGAGGTCTCACATATGCTCAAGCTTGGTCACTGTCACTATTTCTTCCTGCTGCCTGTGGATCAAGATGTAGAACTCTCAGCAACTTCTCCAGCACCGCGTCCACCTCCACACTGCCGTGCTTCCTGACATGACGATAATGGACTGAAGCCCTGAAACTTTAAGCCAGCCCCAGTTAAATGTTTTCCTTTATGAGAGAGTTGCCCTGAGGGCATGGTGTCTCTTCACAGCAATAAAACCCTGAGACAGTGACACAGGCCTGTAATCCTAGTATTTGGAAAGCTGAAACAAAAACTCAAAGTCAGCCTGGGCTACAAGGTGAGACTCTGTGCCCAAAAATAAAAATACCTCCCTGCAGAAAAGTCCACCGAAGGAGCTAGGTAGGTAAGAGTATTTGTGACAGTTATCCATACCAGCCTGTGGTGGCTGGAATAAGAATGCCCCCATAAACCAGGCAGTAGTGGCGCACGCCTTTAATGCCAGTGTACAGGAGGCAGAGGCAGGCAGATCTCTGAGTTCATGGCCAGCCTGGTCTACTGCTGGCTTCTTTGGGCCTCCAGTTGCCAGACGTCTTGATCCTCTGGATTCCCCCAGGCATTGCTAGGCCTCCTTATTCCCCATGGAAAGATGAATACGCTATCTGCCCATTCTCACAGCCCCACAATGCAAGACAATCAGACGCGATAGAGAGTCGAGTCAAGCAGGAACTCAGTTTATTACTGTGAGAATCAGCTTATATAAGTTAAGTGACATGTGGTGTGGGGGTACCTCCATCCAATGAGAAGCAGCCAAATCTTCCCTCTAACTGGAGGGGCGTCTACCTAATTTTTTTTTAAATAATATTTATTTATTTATTATGTATACAATATTCTGTCTGTGTGTATGTCTGCAGGCCAGAAGAGGGTCCCATTACAGATGGTTGTGAGCCACCATGTGGTTGCTGGGAATTGAACTCAGGACCTTTGGAAGAGCAGGCAATGCTCTTAACCTCTGAGCCATCTCTCCAGCCCCCGTCTACCTAATTTTTGCTGTCTCATCCTTACTCAAACTCGAGCCAGGCTTTTCTCTATCCTACAGGCCCTGAAGTACTCGAGCCAGGCTTTTTTCTGTCCTATAGGCCTCAAGTTACGGGCCCTGGGATAATTTTGGCCCAACAGTCTACAGAGTCAGTTCCAGAACAGCCAGGGCTACACTGAGAAACCCTGTCTCAAAACAGACAAACAAACAAAAATGTCTACCACATAGGTATTGAAATTTATTTATTTGAATACTTAAGTCACTCAGAAGTAGAACTGTTTGAAAGGATTATAAGGATTAGGAGGTGTGACCTTGTTGGAGGAAGTGTGTCACTGGGGGTGGGCTTTGAAGTTTCAAAAGCCCATGCCAAGCCCAGAGTCTCTCCCTCTCTACTTAAGGATCAAGATGTAGAACTCTCAGTTATGTCTCCAGCATCACGTGAGTCTGTGTGCCACCATGCTCTCTTCTGTGATGATAATGAACTAAGCAAGCCCCCAATTAAATGCTTTCTTTTATAACAGTTGCTTTGGTCATGGTGTATGTCCTGGTTGTTTTTGTGGTTGTTTATTCGTTTTCTGTGTTTCAAGACAGGGTTTCTCTTTATAGTTCTGTCTGCCCTGGAATTTGCTCTGAAGACCAGATTGGTTTATGAACACACAGAGATCTCCTGTCTCTGCCTCCTGAGTGTTGGGATTAAAGACATGCACCACCATTACCCAACATATTCTGGCTAGTTTTATATCAACTTGACACAAGCTAGAGTCATCTGAAAGGAGGGAACCTCAACTGAGAAAAAAAACCGCCTTCTTAAGATCCAGCTCTAGGGCATTTTCTTAGAAACTGATGGAGGAATGGCCCCGCCCATTGTGGGTGGTGCTATCCCTGGGCTGGTGGTCCTGGGTTCTGTAAGAAAGTAGGCTGAGCAAGCCATGATGAATAAGCCAGTAATCAGCACCTCACCATGGCTTCTGCATCAGCTCCTGTCTCCAGGTTCCTGCCTCCACATCCCTGCCTTGTTTGGGTTCCTGTCCTAACTTCCTTCAGTGATGGACTGTAGCTGCGGGAACTCCTTCCGCTCCTTCAGCCAATAGCCTTTGAGATACCAGCCCACTGGGGTGTGGTATCTTTCTCTTTAAAAAAGCAGCGGCAAATAAAAAAAAAAAAAAAAAAAGAATCCTGCGCAGGGGCTGGAGAGATGGCTCAGCGGTTAAGAGCATTGCCTGCTCTTCCAAAGGTCCTGAGTTCAATTCCCAGCAACCACGTGGTGGCTCACAACCATCTGTAATAAGGTCTGTTGCCCTCTTCTGACCTGCAGGCATATACGGAGACAGAATATTGTATACATAATAAATTAAAAAAAAAAAAAAGAATCCTGCGCACGATTTAAAAAAGCAGCGGCAGCCCTCTGTTCACTCTCTCTTGCTTCAGATTCCACTTCTGGCTATCAGTGGCTTTTCCTGGTCGTGCAGGAGGCTGTTGTCTAGGACGGTGATCTGTAAGGTTTTCCCTTTAAATAAATAACCCTTTTATTAATCATAATTCTAAACTGGTGTGGGATTGTTTTGTGACGTACTCCTTTAGACTGTGGATGTGGAAACATAAGCCAAATAAACTCTTTCCTCCCCAGCTTGCTTTTGGTCATGGTGTTTCATCATAGCAATAGTAAGCCAGACTAAGTGTCTCTTCACAGCAATAGAACAGTGACTAAGATTGGTGCCCATAGGCTCATAAATTTGAATGCTTGGTCCCCAGTTGTTGGAACTGTTTGAGAAGGATTAGGAGACGTGGCCTTGTTGGAGGAGGTGTGTCACTGAGGGTGGGCTTAAAGGTGTCAAAAGCCTACACTATGCCCAGTTAGCTATCTCTGCCTCCTATTTGCAGATAAGAGTGCAAGCTCTCAGCTGCTGCTCCAGGACCATGCTGCCTGTCGGCTGCCATACTCCTCACCATGATGGGCATGAACTCTAACACTCTGGAACATTGAGCCCCACATTAAATGCTTTCTTTTATAAGGTGTCTCAGTCATACTGTTTTGTTATGGCAATAGAAGAGTAACTAAGACTCTGGCATACAGGAAAACACACATTTATGGATGTACTCTTTTGCTTTGTTTCTGATTATGTGATGGATATGGACACACACCGTAGCATCCTCTGCAGCCATAACTGAGGAGGTCATATTTGCACTGGTGCCCTGACTCACCAAAGAAAGAGAAACTGCTTCTAGAGTTCTGTGTCAGAGGACAGAGGGATATAGAATCCATCACTCAAGGTTTGGCAACCAGAAGCCAGGCTGGTGGCACATATAGATGGTAGTTCTAGGCTAGCCTAGGCTACACAGCCGCCTCTGTCTTACGCACTCTCCGTCTACTCTTAAAAAGTGAGTGATCTGAAGTAGTAGGAGTGAGAGCTGAGTGGTGTTAAGGTTGGAAGACTCCCTAGTTATAGGAATTTGCTAGAATGCAAACACCTCCAAGCAAGGATATGCATCCAGGGCCTGCACATAACTTCTGGAATAGGATTATGGACAAAGAACATTTAGCTTCTGTGAGCTTGGCTCTGCTGTCTGGGCAAAGAGTGTGTGCCAGAGCTTTCTCCCTCTCTCACCCCAGTCCATCCCTACTCCTTTCTGCCATAGAAAGTATAGGGCTGGGCCGGGCAGTGGTGGCGCACGCCTTTAATCCCAGCACTCGAGAGGCAGAGGCAGGCGGATCTCTGTGAGTTCGAGACCAGCCTGGTCTACAGAACTAGTTTCAGGACAGGCTCCAAAGCCACAGAGAAACCCTCTCTCGAAAAACCAAAAAAAAAAAAAAAAAAAAAAAAAAAGGAAGAAAGAATGGGGCTGGGACCACCGAGGTAATTGTGTGATCTCAAACATCCATGGGAGAGATTCCTCCTTCACACCAGTCCCCTCTGTTCACACCAGTCCCCCCGGAAGGAATATATTTATTTTAATGAAGCTGCTTCTGTTCAATATTTCTCTAGCACCCATGTAAAAAGTAGGGTGCTGTGTATATCTGCCATCCCATCGTTGGAGGGGCAGGATGGAAGATGAACTCAGTCGGCCTAGGTAAATCGGTGAGCTCTGTGTTCAGAAAAATAAGGTGGAAAGTGATTGAGGAAGAAACTGATTTCTGGCTTCCATTCATACACACACACACATGCACGCATGCACGTGCGTGCGCGCACACATGCACGGGCGCACGAATTGGCACACCACCCACACAAAAGGGCATCTGTGTATTATGCTAATATAACCATGTGATTTTTGGGGCTCGCCTCCTTTTTTGTCTTCTCAGATCCAGTTTCTCTACTCAGAAACAGTGGTTCTCTTGGTCCTGTTTACTTCCTCATACTTTCCAGAAATTCACTTTCTTGTTTCTCTTTCTCTTTTGTCAATGTCACGTGTCTGTCCTTTGGGGTAGTGGCCGGCACTTAAGCATAGACACTGAGCTTCTCTGGACATGAAGACTAGCGAGCCCTTTGAGATTATCTGCTATTCACTTGACTCTTGCCATTTTCATCCTCGCTGGTCCTTTGCATGACTGAGAAAACAAGCCCACCGCCACCCCGAAACATTTTATGGGTTCTGAAAGCGGTTGCCTATGAGAAACATTAGGAATCGCTTGGCCTTCATCTCTAATAGGGCCCGATTCTGACAGAGCCACTAGTCTGTGACAACCGTGCTATGTAGGGGACTAACACAATAGCATTTTTCCTATGACCGCCGTGTGCGAAAGGCCAGGATCAGGTATGACACCCATCCTCATGAAGGCAGGGGCCCAGGCTTTGGTGAATACGGAGCGCGCGGGCTCTGGGTGAACCTCCCTTCCTAGCCCCCCCCTCCCCCCCGCAGCGAGGGGTTGAACCCTCAGATTTCCGCCGAAGCGTCCAGGCGGAGGGCGGAGCATCCGGGGGGCGGGGCTGCAGGGGCGGAGCTAGACCGCCACCCACCGGTACGAGAAAGAGAAGGCGGCGTGCTAGGCGCGCCAGAGAGTCGGTCAGTCCTGCTTCAGCCTGTACGCGGCCGGTTCCCGCGGCGTGTGCGTGGTGAGTCCGCCTACCCCCCTGGGCTCGCCTTGGCCCTGCGTTCCCCTCCGGGGGTCCGCGCCAAGCTCAGTGTGGTGTCGGTTCGATCCTTTGCGGTGGCGGGGCGCCTGCGCCTTGGTGGAGGCGGGGTCGGGGCGCCGGCCGCCCGGTGCCACCGTGGAGCTGCGGGTTAGGCACGGGAGGGCTTGGGGCGCGCCCTCGGTCCTGGTCTGCTGGCGGGAGGCCTCCTGGTGCATCCGGGACCCCGGGTCGTGCCGCACCCTGCAGGTGCGCGCTGGGCGCGGAAGACGGGCTCAAGGCTCCGCTGCGCTCGGCTAGGCGTGAGTTCTGCCGTGGCCACCCGCAAAGATGAACAACGGACGGTTACAAACCACCAATGGGCCCCGTGACAGACTCGGAAGAACCCCATCCCTGACACAGACCTTGGACTCCAGCAAAGGGCACCTTCGTTTACACCTGTGGGTGCCACTGAGCCCATAGCTCACACTCGCGCCTAAATTGGAAATGTGGCTGCCCCCTGCAGCATCTCCAGAACCCGAAATGGTTTGAAAATATGGGCAGAGATGGCTACTGGTGTGTTTAAAAAGTTTGTTGAGTGGTTGGCCAAATAATCGAAGGAATTTGGAAGTAATAAGCTGTCTTCAGCCACCAAGTGGCGGGGCCCACAAGGATTCATTCATCATTCATTCATTCATTCATTCATTTATATCCTCAACAAATGAGTGTACACCAGGGGCGGGCCAGGATGGAGCTGGTGTGAGTAGAGCGAGGTCGGACTGAAAGGCCACCCGTCGTCGATTCTAGGATGGGATTGGCCCTCTTCCGATAAACCGTAGGTGAGCAATGAAGAACAGGCTGAGGACCCAGCCCCAGCCTCCCCTACTTTCCCAGGCTACTGCCTGGTGCCAGGCCAGGCTTGCGTGCTCTTCCTGGAAGGCTGCCATGAGATCAGATCCAGGGTGAGAGTTGGGGGGAACTTCAAGAATGACGTGGATTTTCCACATTCCATCCCCACCCAGCCATGACACTTCAAAGCCCTAAGCGCTCCCCTGAGCCTTGGGCAGCGCTGTCTTGGACAAACCATGGCCTTCAGCTTTGAGTGTTCCCTCAGGGGAGTCCGGTCTGGGGCTGGGGCAACATTCCAGAGGCGTCAACCCCTGAGTGGGCTGAGGGCTTGGGAAGTTTTGTAGGTAGGGAGAATTGTGTGTATCCTCGCCTCTGCTGGCCCTCTTGCCTGGAAATGGAATGGCAGTGGGATTGGCTTGTCACAGCTGGGGTTAGCAGGCATTTCCACCCACTGGGTGCAGGTTCCTGAGGAGCAAGGTGCTATCTCCTGGCTACTGTGGTGTGTCGTGTTGGGTACTGGTTTTGGTGATGGCCAATGCAGAGAGCCACCTGGATATGGCATACACTCTGTTCTGAAGAGATTTGGGTAGGTCTGAGGTTCCTGGGGACTCTGAAGTTGAGGGTGTACTTGAAAAGGGGCCTATTGGTGCAGTTAGGCTGGGGGAGGAGAGGCGATAGTCACAGCTTGAGGTCACTTGGTTCCTCTTATTTGCAAGTCAGAATAGCCTACCCTAGGGCTCAACAACGCTGGGTGCCTGGACACCGGAAGGAAGGGAGGCTTGATGACACAGCCTTTTAGACCTTCTGAAGGGCAGTGCATGCTATTCCAGCTGCCCCTTGCCTCTCCAGCGATAGGTTGAGGATTGGGGACCGACCTCTAGGCTGTGTTCAAGGCCATACAGCCATTCTCATGGGGGTGCCACGGATCTGGTGGTTCCCTGGATGTGAGCTCGAGACTCTAAGAAACTCCTGATGTGGGTCTGTGGTCATTGGGCATTCGTTCTGTGGCTGCATCTCTGGCCACCGTTTGCCAGGCTGTGGCCGTGGAGGGCAGCTACTGTTTCTGGTTCTGGCTGCTCTGCCTGGCTGGGCAGCCTCGGAAGCCACCTGTACCTTGCCCATTGTCTGAAGAAGACAATTAAATTGAAGCTGCAGGGTGGAGGGTGGCAGCGATCAAACACCATCCAGAGCTTTCTGTGTAAGCTCATGGGGAGTACTTTGGTTTTATCCACTTTTTTGTTTGTTTGTTTTTCAAGACAGGTTTTCTCTGTGTAGCTTTGACTGGTCCTAGAGCTTGAACTCACAGAGAGCTGCCTGCCTTTGCTTCCCACATGTTGGGATTAGAGGAAAGCCCCACCAGCACCCGGCTACATTTTTTTTTTTTTAAGGCAGTAGGCTGCCAAGACTAATATCCAACTTCTACTCAAGAGTTATTTCCTTGCTGGGCAGTGGTGGCACATGCCTTTAATCCCAGCACTCAGGAGGCAGAGGCAGGTGGATCTCTGAGCTCCAGCTAGGGCTATACAGAGAAACCCTGTTTGGAAAACAGGCAAACCAAAAAGACTTTTCCTGCCTCAGACTCCTAAGTCCTGGGACTGTCCTGTGCACCTCTTCTGTTCATTAGCTCGTTTCATATTCCGGTGATGAGAGACTGGATTATTACTTCCTTCTTCAGATAGGTCAGCTGGGTAGAGAGAAGCTAATTAACTTGCCCAGGGTCTCAAAGTCAGATTTGGAACTCTCAGTTCTAACTGCACTCCCAGACCATGCTCCACTTCCCAAGGGAGGTGCAGGGGGTAGGAACAGAGAGAATGGCCGTAGACTCATTTGTGTTTCAGGACTGGGGACAAACCCAGGCCCTGGTAAGTGCTGGTTGTGCACTCTGCCACCGAGGCAGACGCACGTTCTTTTCCTGTGGACTTCTCTTCCCTCCTAGCAGCTGGAGGGAGGCAGGGCAGCTACTGATATGAATGGAGAAGCTGAAGCTTTAGTGCCAGGAACTTTTATGGTGGGTCTTTCCCCAAGAGCCATCCTGGCAGATGTCCACAATTTCTCTACCCACAGTTTAGTGTTTCTTACTCTCTTACTCTGCTCTTTGTGATTTCGTTGGTCCAAACAGAAGGACTATTTCAGACAAAAGGGCAGTAGTAGCTGTCTGAATGGGCTGAAAAGTGGTGATGCCATCTTGAAAATTGAGTTCTTAGCTGGCTTTCTGGGTGCTTGTCCTCATGGACATTGCCAGTCACAAAAAAAGAAAGAAAGCAAGAAAGAAAACGAAAGAACCAAAAAAAAGCCAAAAAAAAAAAACAGAGAAAAAGGAAATGTATTTGGTGTGTGTGTATGTGTGTGATGTATGTATATATTCATTATGAGTCATATCAGGTAAGTGCACATATATTCTTTGTGTGTGTGTGTGGTATATGTATAAATTCATTATGGGTCATATAAGGTGAGTGCACATATGTTCTTCGTGTGTGAGTGTGTGTGTAGATCGGAGTCAAGTGCCTTCCCCAGTTCTTCGCTGCCTTTTGTGTGTGTGTGTGACAGGACCCCTCACTTAACCTGGAACTCACCAGTTCGCTGCTCACCATCTAGTCAGTGAGCTGTAGGGATGGATATTCAGGTCTCTGTCTCCCCGGCACTCAGATTACCGGGCACACCGTTGCACCTGGCTTTTGCATGGTCCTAGTGACCCAGACTCAGACCCTTAAGCTTATGTAGGCATGCGGTGTACTGACTGAGCCCTTTCCTGGCCCTGGTTTGCTTTAAATTACCCTTCTACCTCAGTAATGCAAGCGGGTTAGTTAGTGCTGAGGAGTGTTTCACATCTGGCTCCTAGAACAGCCTTAGGAAGAGGCAGTGTGCTTTTTGGCATTACTTCTAGAAGGGTGTGGAGGGCTCTGGTGTCAGCCCTGTCCCGGGACTGGTCTTTGTAGAAGTGGAGCAGCCAAACGTAGGGAGGTCAACAGCTCACGGTTAGGTGTATGCCCTTTTGTAAAACTTCCTGCTTATTTTCTCTGACCTGGAGAGATCTCCTGGCCTAGTGAGTCTATTCCCACCCAAGATGGCCACCACAATGACTTAGGCAGGTCTGGACTGCCGTAGGCTAAGGTTATCTCCTTCAGAGGTGAACCCGCTTTGTTTTTGTTTTTCTTTTCTGAGACAAGGTCTCCTGTATCCCAGTTTGGTTTTCCACTCACTGTGTGGCTGAGGATCATCTCGACCTCGTGATATCCTCCAGTGCTGGGATTACGGGCATGCACTACCACACATGTTTCAAACCTTTCTTTAGAGGCAGTCAGATAGAGCTGAAGCCCAGGCAGGTGCTGGCTGATCCTGGGAGAATATTGGAAGAGTCCAGTTCTTCTGATCAAGAGCATTGGCTGCCAGCCTTTATCTGAGTCAGCAGTAGTGGTCCTGTGTCCTAGTTATGTTTGATCTAGTTCATACATACATGCTTCTTCTGTAACAGGGCTGTTCCCAGTAAGCCTATCATAGCATGAAAAAGATTGCAAGTTAAAGAGGCATTTAGCACACCTAAGTACCCTATGTTACCTTAGCACACCTTATGTGTCCTAGCCTTCCAAGGGGTGTGCGCACCTCATGAGGACAAAGCAGCCCTGCTCTAAGTGAGGACATAAAAAACCTTTGCCTGGGCTTCTGTGGGGACAGGCTTTTCCTTACCGGGGCTAGGTGACAGCGTCCGGAAGAGGCCTCCAGAGCCCACCATGTCTTCTCAGTCTGGCATGCTGCCATCCTCTCTTATATCATAGACCTATCTTTCCTTGAGTTCCAGACAGGGCTGGGCAAGTTTCTGGCCAAGACCGGCCTAGTTCTTCCTTGCCTATCTTCTAGATACCAGGGAGACTTCACTGCAAAGTCCTTACTGGGCTGACTGTGTAGGAGCATGTCCCTCTAGGGGCACATCTCAGTCGGCAAGGAGATTGTGCTGGCGTCGTCCCTATTGTCCATCCCATTCTCCCTGGTGTAGGTCGGCTGTTGTCCCCTTAACAAGTGAGGAAAGGTCGCTTTCTTCTAGGGTGCGGGAGACAGGAAGATGCTATTGCCCTGTGCAGGCCCACTGCCAGCTCGGGCCCTTGACTGTGGGGTAAGCGTCCAGTTATCTTTTCATTGTATTCTCTGCTGGGCTAGGT